CAAGGGCTCCTCACTTTCAGCAAGCAAGGTTGTGTCATCTCCATACAAAGCTTGTTAATAAGCCTTCCTCCAATCCTGATGCCAAATTTTTGTTCATAGAATCCAGCTTTTCTGATGATTTGCTTGGCATACAGATTGAACAAGTAGGGTGAGAGGATACGACCCTGACATACCCCTTTCCTGGTTTTAAATCATGCAATATTCCCTTGTTCTGTTCACACAATTGCCTCTTGTTCCATATACAGGCTCCACATGAGCACAATGACGTGTTTTGGAATTTCCTTTCTTCTTAAGATTATCCATGGTTTATTATGAGCCACACAATCAAATTGCCTTTGCACAGTCTGTGAAACACAAGTAAACATCGTCCTGGCATTCTCTGCATTGAGGCAAGATCCATCTGACATCAGCAATGACACCCCTTGTTACTCGTCATATTCTGGACAGGCCTGAACTTTTGGCAGTTCCCTGTTGATGTACTGTTGTTAGATTATCTTAAGCAAATTTTACATTCATGTGATATTATTGATGTTGTATAGTTTGAGCATTCTGTTGGGTTACCTTTCTTTGGAAAGGGCACAAATATAGATTTCTTCCAGTCAATTGGCCAGGTATTTGTCTCCCAAATTGCTTGACAGACAAGTGTGTGCTTCCAGTGTTTCTTCAGCGGTTGGAAACATTTCAATGGGTATCACATCACCTCTTGGGGCCTATGCCTTCAGTGCTGTTTGAACGTCTTCTTTCATCACCATTGGTCCTTGCTCATATGCTACCCCTTGAAATGGACTGTTAAGTGGTTCTTTTTGGTACAGTGACTCTTTGTATTCTTTCCATCTTCTCTTGTGAAATCCTGCATCATTCACTATTTTGTCTACAGAATCTTTCAAGATTGCAACTTGAGGCTTGAACATTTTCTTGAGTTCTTTCAGTTTCAGATACATGTTCTTTCCTTTTCGCTTTCTAATTCAAGGTTCTTACACTCTCAGTTATAATATTTAGATTTGTCTTCTCGAATTGCCCTTTGAAATTTTCTATTCGGCTTTTTGACTTCACCCTTTCTTCCATTTGCTTTAGCTTCTCTACAATTCACAGCAAGTCTCAGAGTCTCTTGTGACATCCACTTCGGTATTTTCTCTTCCCCAGTCTTTTTCATGAGCTTTCACTTTCTTCTTGAATGATGGTCTTAATGTCCTCCCACAGCCCATCAGGCCTTCTGTCATTGGTGTTCAATGCATCAAATCTGCTCTTGAGATATTCCTGACATTCAAGTTGGATATATTCAAGGTTATATTTGGGCTCTTGTGGACTTGTTTTAATTTTCATCAGCTTTTTCTTGAACTTACATAGGAACAATTGATGATCTGTTGCACAGTTGGCCCCTGATCTGGTTTTAGCCGCTGGTATAGAGAATCTCCAATTTGTCTTTGTACAGATACAGTCAATTTGATTTCTATGTATTCCAATAGGGAAGTCCACATGGATAGTCACTGTTTTGTTGTGGGGAAAAAAGGTATTTGCTATGAACAAAGTGTTGGTCTTGCAAAAAATTTTAATGGGATCTCCAGCTTCATTTCTATCACCAAGTCCATATTTTCCAACGACTGTACCTTCCTCTTTGTTTCCAACTTTTGCATTCCAATCACCAATAAAAATGTATCTTGATTGTATGTTTGATCAATTTCTGACTGAAGTTGTTGGTTCTTCAATTTCTTCATCACGAGCTTTCATGCTTAGTGCATGCATTTGAATAATGGTTTTATTGATTGGATTCCCTTGAAAGCCGAAAGATATAATCCAATCAACGGTAGCATTGTATTTCATGATGGATTTAGTAATCCTTTCTGACCATCAATGGCAAACCATTCCTCTTGATTGTGTTATTCCTGGAACAGTAAATCATATAATTTTCTGATTCCATATGGCCACTATTAGTCCATTCCAGGTCACTAATGCCGAAGATATAGATCTTCACATGTTACATTTCATTTTTGACCACTCCCAGAATTCATACATCACACACTCCAAGTTCCAATCTTTAGACTTGTGTAGCTATCGCTCTCTTCTTTGAGTTGTGCACCATCAGTACATGAAGACACCACAGGCTCCGCCCCTCCAGCTTTGCCAGACTCACATCACCATGGTTGACTCCCCTCTCAGAACCCTCTGCTCTTCCATCATATTTGGGTGTCTATCTCCAACAATGCTCTGCTTCCTTTGTTTAGACTTTTCATATTTGAAAATGACAATGCTTCAGATTTATGCATAACGGTTTTTCAATGGCTTCTTTCTGCAAAGTGGGGACCCGAGACCTTTGTCAGGATCTGTTCTTAGCCCGGGAGCTATACTGAAACCTGTTCATTGGGGGTGACCCTGCTGGCACTTGCAATACCAGTGACGTAGCTTCCAGCATCACAACAACACATAAGCTACCACAGTACCACAAACTGACAAACAAGCTATCTTCTAAATCTTTTGTGACAGATAAGGACCTATTTCTAGTGCTTCTTCACATTGTTGCAACATTTCCATTGGTGTTCTGTCAATTCCCACAACCTTGTTTTGCATGAAATGATTCTTAATTACACACTATCTTCTGAAATGGTAAAACATTGACTAATTCTTTTTGGTTCAGTGACTCCATATTCCTCCCATTGGCCTTTAATGTTCCCTGCAATATTTTTCCCATGTTGAAATCCTTCAATATTTCAACTCAGGGTTTTCATTCTTGCTTCAATTATTTCTGTTTCAGCTATGTTGAACTTTTTCTTCTTTTGGGATTGCTAGGTCTCTGCATATTTCTTTATCTTTCCTTTGGG